AACGGAATAAATATCATTTTCCAGCAAATATATATGTTTCTTAACAAAATTTCCTCGGTTCACGACTCAGGTTCCCCAGGGTGCACACTCACTCGACGTCATCTAATCTATGACCTAATCTCAAACGTAAGTACAGTTCAGCAGCCCCAGTGGAATAGATAGAGAGAGAAAGATGGAGTGCGATATATAGGGTGCCCAAATAATTTTATCCAAATACAACGAAATATCTCGCAAGGAAGAAACCTCGTAACATTCTTATTTAAAATCACTTGAATACAAGAAGATACATTATTACATATAAAATCGTATATTATTTATTTAAACGAATGCAATTTATTTCGCATTACTACGAGAGAAGAGTATTTCATCCTTTTGTGACTGCGCGCAAAATAAATACAATCTCTTCTCAACGGTCTTAAAAACAATATTTCGCGATATTTAAATGAAAGAGACACCCTGTATACGCGTATATGTCGCCGCAAGATCGGAGCGACAGAGATGGATCAGGGAAGCAATGGGGCCGAGACTGAGAGGGACAGTGATAAATACACGTACAAAGAGATGGCGCGAGGAAGAGGGGAGCAAGATGGCGGAATAGAGATGGAAAATGGACGTAGCCGGGCATTGGACGTAGCGGCGTATTAGTGCAACGATTGCCCGCAGCAGGTCTGGGTTAAGTGAATGGCTCTGCCGAGGGCTTTGCTGATTATGGTGTCGTCATTGATCCAGATCGAAATTGGCTTGCTTCTGTCATGGAACGCGCTCAGAGGACCATTAATATCCTCCTGGGTGCTTCGATGGAACGAGAGAAATGGCCAAAAGGGGAAAGGGGTGGCCGGTCACAAATTTTACCATGTACGAAGATCTCGATCCTGCAACGAAATTATTGGATTCGATAATTCGGTTATTTAATTTTCTAGGTTCGAATCGATACGATTTTCTTTTCTTTCTTTCTTTTTTTGACATTCTCCTTAAAATATTCCAATCACGTTTTAGATTACGATTAATTCACCAAAGATCTTTTCTTTAATACTTTTTACGAATGAATTTATTATTATTATGTACTTTTATTATTTATTAAAAAAGGAATTAAAGGAAAAGAGATAGAATTAAGGGAAATTTTATATAATAATGGCATGATCGTTTATTATGATAAATCTAAAATGATAAATTGAATTGGTAAGAAAAAGAAGAAGAGAAAAGGTTCTCTTGGTAACACCGATTCGAGAAAATTTTCTATAGAATCATACGCAAATAGGATTTTATAGTTGGAGGAAAAAGCAGGATAAGGAAGAATGAAAAGAAAAGGAATGGGGGAGGGGAAAAGGAATGATTACAATGGTGAATCCATTGAGTGGTCTGCATTCAATTCGTGTGATTGAATTGGTTTTCTGCAACGGGGGTTTTCTGCACGAGATATACCGCCTCGATAATGTACGTTGACGGACTTTATAATTAGGGGAGAAGTCAATTACACGAGGCGCTTTCTTTTCTGTCTGATGCATTTACAATTCTCGCACATTTTGACCTTTTAAAATTATCATTTACACGTCTTGGGTTAGTTAATTGTCAGTTAATTTCTTTAACTAAAAATAAAACATCTAAATTTATTTTCCAATATTTATTCTTGATATTGTGCATTATTTTCGAAGGCAACATTCTTTTGAAGAATTTCGACGTTTCGTAGTTCGATTCTTTCTTAACTTCCAATTTCGACAAACAAATGTCTGTCTGCAACCAAAAGAAACAATTTTCCACATTTCTAAAACTACCGAAAGCAACATCTCCCTTCCTCCCTTTACCCATGTCAAATATCGAGATCAAAGAATTAATTACAAGCCTGTCCAATTTCCAATCCCGATAGAAAGGCCCGTAATTTCGAATTGCCATCGTGTCACGCCAATTCGAGAACAAAGGCCTATAACTGATAACACTACCGTCGAAGATACGTACCGTCCACCCTCTCCAATCTGTGAACAACCATCGTACTTAGAGAGAGAAAGAGAGGTAACTGGAAAAGTCAGCCAAAAGAAAAGAAAAAGAGAGAGACTTACTTTCACCGACAGACTTTTCGACAATCGTCCAAAGATAGACCCTCTATATTCCGGCTTATTCACTAATCGAAGATTCCAAGGCAGATAGATATCCCTGGAATCAGATTAAAACTCTTTCTCGTTACGCGAGATCAAAGGAATCAATTCTCTAATGGCCGGTTAAAAATACCGGTTTTCGGTATTGTTGCATCATCGTGTTCCGATTGAATGTGAACAGGAAGTGGAAGGTGGAAATGGAAGATCGTTTCTGTCTCTCTCTCTCTCTCCCTCCCCTCCATGTCTGTCGATTGCCAATATCTTGGCAAGATGGGAAGGAACGAACGGGATCTGTGGGTCAGATAAGAGTTAGTGCTCACTTGTTGACCCGTTTCAACCGGTCGTAATTTATAGAGATATACCGGGTGTTCGTGGCAACACGTATCACGTCACGATTTTAAGATTGCGATTGAGATGTTTATCGTGATAAATCGGTTAATTTTTCATTGAAATATTTTTTTAAAATCAATAGTGAACATTTTATAAATATATATATATCTGTGAGCATCTGTTTATTTTGACTTATTAATGAATAAAATAATTTTTGAATTTAGTTAGTTTCAATTTCGCTTTGACGCTTTATTTAATTAAAAAATTATGAATCGATTGGTGTAGATGTATTTAAAAAGGAAAAAAGAAATATGGAAATTTAAAACGACGCAAATTAATTTCGTCGAATAAAAAGTAATAATGTTGCAATTAAAATTAGCTCGATTCTTAAATTTTTTTTACACGATTTACATAAAATCCATTTCAATAATTCATTCACGTTATAATGCACAAAATCATATATATATATATTCAAATATAAAAACATTATAATTTTTCATCGGTCACAACTGCAAACATTTCCCATTTAAATTACATTTACACTTGTCCATCAATCGAGACAATACATCAATCATCAACAATCAACTTGATTAAATTCCTTCTTCATAATAATATACTCTTAACAACAAACAACACGATTACCAATTACACTTGATTCCTTGTGCAGCTACCAGAACAATATATATACATATATATAAAACAAGATCTCCCTAATTAATTAGAAACACGAGATTTAATCACAGAATATTTTCATCAAATTATATCATCCGTATCCGGGACGGATATTTACCCGTCCGTTTTAATTAAACGCGCGATCATTCGAGGGGGATTTTTCGATTGTCACTATCTTAATTATGCGCACGATTCGTTACATTAATATTCCGCGTTCCCGGCAAATGTTCCTCGAACAATTTCCGCTTCCACCGATTCGACAGGTCCTCTTCGAATTTAATTGAGCGCTCTTCGATTACTACCCTCCCTCCTCCCCCTCGAGGGTTTAGGCATAAACTTGCTCGGGATTTACCGATACGTTCCCCTCTGAGGACGGCCGAATAGTTTCGATCGAAAGTTTGCGGGTCCCGCCGCCATTAAACGGTAACCAATCCCGCCAATATAATTCCCGGAGCGAAATTCGAATGATTAGAAATCGTAGTGAAATATCGAAGGGTGGCCGAGTTTCCAACTGATAATTATGGGAACCAAGTTTCGTTTCGTTTCGTTTCGAGCTCGATCGAGGAAGGAATCCTCGAAATATTCCTCGAGTAATAATAATAACGCGAAGAGATTTTTGGATTTACAATATTTATTTCTAATCGTTTTACTTTATGAAAGTTTCTTTAATCTTAAGTTAAAACATCCGATTCAAAAGTGAATTTAATTTTATTCGATCAATTACGTCTTGATTATTTTTATAAAGAAAAAAAGATCTACGTTAAAATTACGGCCCTACAATAAATTGGCCCTATTCAATTAAAAGTCTTTTCAAACGCCACGTCAAAAACAGTTATTCGAATAGAAGCGGGACTATTAGGGGTTGACAAGGGGTTGCCGTTGGAAAGTTTGTTTAAAACAGCGGAACAATTAAGTTTGGATTGAAGTAATTAAAACGCGGAGGAGGGCCTCGAAACTTGTAATTAGAAATGAGCGAAAAAGCAAACGAAGTTAAAGCGTTTGTATATTATTTTCACCCTCACCTGTGCACCGACCAGGCCAGCCCGTAATCTAGGAATGTCCGTGTGACTCCAGTCTGATCTGGCCCAAGGATCAACCCTTCCGAGATCGCTGCTCAGATTCACCTCGCCGAGTTGATTGTGTACGAACTTTCTGACGTTCCAGGGCAAATCGTTGTGCCTGGTTAAGAAAAATGAATCGCGAATTAATTAAAATCGATACCAAACAAATCTTTCCATTTCTTTTCTACAATCGAGAAATACAACTATGAATAGATGAGCAGAGCGAGACAATTTCAGTGATATAAATCACAGTTATTTAATAATATATATATTAAATAATATTTAATAATAATAATTATTAAAGATATTATAAAGATTATTATTAAAAATTCAAAGAAAAATTATTATTCTGTCTGTACATATGACGTGTACACGATTCTTCCATACGAGCTTACCCGTCGATCAGAGGCACTTCAG